TGTCACCCAGGATGGAGTGCAGTGGCATAATCATAACTCACTGCAGCCTCGAATTCCTAGGCTTGATCGATCCTCCTGCCTCAGCCTCCCAAGTAGCTGGTCCTACAGGTGCATACCATTGTATTTTACTAATTTTTTAATTTTTTTTTTTAGAGATGGGGTCTCGCTCTGTTGCCCAAGCTGAAGTGCAGTGGCTATTCACAGGCATGATCCCACTACTGATCAGCACTGGAGTTTTGACCTGTTACGTTTCCGACCTGGGCTGGTTCACCCCTCCTTAGGCAACTTGGTGGTCCCCTGGCTCTGGGAGTTCACCATATTGATGCCGAACTTAGTGCAGACACCCGATCGGCATAGCGCACTACAGCCCAGAACTCCTGGGCTCCAACAATCCTCCAGCCTCAGCCTCCTGAGTAGCTGGGACTACAGACAAGGGCCACCACACCCGGCTAATTTTTAAATTTTGTATAACAGAGTCTTGTCATGTTCCCCAGGCTGGTCTTGGACTCTTGGTTTCAAGTGATCCTCCCTCCTCAACCTCCCAAAGTGTTGGGATTACAGTCAGGAGGCTGTAATCCCAAAAACATTTGGAAGGACAAGTTAACAGGACTTCCTGCCAAAATAGATATGAAGTATGTTGTTACGGCCGCATGTATTGTTGTATGTGGCCACAGGATTTTTGATCCACCCTAACTGGAAAAAAATGACTAATGGGCAATTAACAGTACAGGATAGTGCTCAAGAGAGATAAGGGCTGATATGTCACAGTGAGATATAAGGGAAAGAGCTGGAGTTAGGAGACCTGATTTCTAGACCTAACCTTATCTTTAATTAGCAGTGTCATCTCGGACAAATCCCTTCATCTGCATTAAGTCTGTTTCCTCTTATAGTAAAGATATACACACACAATGATAGATATAAGGAAGAATATGCCCATATCATTCTTAAGATCCTACTCATTTAGTTAAAAAAACAGCTTCCTGGGCCAGGCACGGTGTCTCACACCTGTAATCCCAGCACTTTGGGAGGCCAAGGCAGGCGGATCACAAGGTCAGGAGATCGAGACCATCCAAACCAACATGGTGAAACCCCATTTTTACTAAAATACAAAAAATTAGCCGGGAGTGGTGGTTCGCACCTGTAGTCCCAGCTACTCGGGAGGCTGAGGCAGGGGAATCACTTGAACCTGGGAGGTGGAGGTTGCAGTGAGCCAAGGTTGCAGTGAGCCAAGATTGTACCACGGCACTCCAGCCTAGGCGACAGAGCAAGACTTCGTCTCAAAACAAATAAAAAAAACCTTTGCTTTCCTTTGTTGTCCCATAATATTATGTTCATTTATCCATTATAGGACTTATCACA